GTGAAGGGGAAAGGTCAGCCCCCTTTCCATGATGGTCTTTGTCCAGAAAGACATCATCTCTACATATCTTAGGTCCCTTCTATTATCATTATTTTTTTTTTTAAAAAAAGGGGTGCAACACAAGAACTTAGGTCCTNTATATGTTGATGATTGAAAATTTGGTAATTAAATTTATAATTTTATTGTGCCATTTGGGGTTGAATAATAATAATGGCGATAAATTCATGAGTTTTATAAATGAGTAAAATTTGATTGATTTTATTTATCGTTTAAAGATTGTGAATTTAATTGCGTTATATTAGTATTTTTTTTTTTTGCTTGAGATATTTGTTACATGGGGATAGAGTGGATTGGAAATATGATGATTGTGTTTATAATTATATTCTATTATTTGATTGAGTGGTGGTAAATGTAATAAATTCACGAGTCTTATAAATGAGCAAAATTTTGTTTATTACTGAAAGATTATAAATTTCAATGAATTATGTTAGTATTTATTTTTTTTCAGAGGTATTTATATACATATGATGTTGTTTTGAAGAGTTTTATATATTTTTACGACAATTCTATTAATATGGAGGATATAATCGGTGATATATTTTGAGTTATTTTAAAAAAATAATTGGTATGAATATTTTGATGTCATTCTTTTTAAATTTGGAAAATTGTATAAAAAAAATTTGTTTATTATATAATGTCTCGAGGAAAGGATATATATATATATATATATATATATATAGTCGATTATAATAATTCACAGCATATACGTAGCAGACGTAGTAATTGACAGTAGAGCTTAGAAAATGAGGGCTGACTATGAAGTTTAATAACAGACAAGAACTAATTAGTCATCGTTAAAAACAACGTCTGTCATTGTGTGATGGTTTTGGACCTTTGGAGCCAGCCGGCCACAAAAAGTCAAAGTACAAGAAAGAAAATCACAGGAGAGAGAGAGCCACTTTTAATGTGTATGTACGTTACTAATAAAAAAGATCTACAATACAATACCATACCATACCATCTTAAGCAAAGGGCATTGCGGTCCAAAAGTAAAAGTTGTTCAATACCACAACATAAGCTTCACTGTTTGACATCGTTTACCCTTATGTTTTCTAGTCCTTCTTGTATCCTTCTTATCTTTACTTCTTCTCTCAGTTCTCAAATCNTCAGGTTAAAATTGACAGAAATTGAAGTTGTTGGAGGACATTGCATTGCATTGCATGGGCATATATAGCATGAGTCCAGACTTGTTATTTTCCAATAATCGGAGACAAGTGCATTCCCCAAAAACAAATAGGAATACGCCCACCAACTATTTAAAAGCAGACATTATTGCCCAAGGAATTTTGACCAATAAAGTTTGTCACTTAATTCGGAAACTGAAACTGAAACTGAAACTGAAACTAGCCTAGCCTAGCCCCCCGATGAAGGCGTTGAAAGTTCTTTTGACTATGCTCCTCATTCCTCAAAGAAAGAGAAACAAAATGAGAGATTAGGGTCGTGTTTGGTTTGTGATCCGAAAATAATTTTTTATTCTCAAAATTTTAAAAATATCTAAAATCTATTTGTTTAACATTTTTGTTCTCTAAATTTTAGAAAAAAAATGAGATTTGAGTCAAAGAAACATAAAACAAGTGTAGCTTATTTTCAGAGTTTTCTTTAAAAATTTTGGAAACAAGGAGAATAATTTTGACTATATATATGTATTATATATGTATATATATACAATACACACATAATATATATAATTTTTTTTATTAATGTTTGAATTAATGTTTAAATATATATTTAGGCTATCTAAATAAATTTTATTATTTTCTGTATTGTAAAATTATTTTTAAACTTATCTAAACAAGTAAAATTTTATTTTAAAAAATATCAAAACTATTTTTTTAAAATCCTTATCAAAAACTGTTTTCAAATATTATTATTTAAAACACAAATCTAACAGACCCAGAAGTTTGTGACCCTACTTTCCTTCGTTTTAGAGCGTTGATTCATCGGTCATCAATTTGCTAGTTCCTGATTACTACACCGGCACTTCGCGGCAGCAGCGGCGTAATAATGTGGCGTGTTTGAACTGCCACTGCCAGGGAGGGTACGTTACGTACATCCATACAACTAAGTATGCACAGACGACATTGACTAATTCCTTATGATGAGCCGTGATTCTCGTACGTATTCGGATATTCCTTTTTTCTAATTCAATACCAAATACATGCACTGACCTCATATATTTTCAGGCTTTTCTTTCGGCGTAAGGAGCTAATTATTTCTATAAAAATATAGCAAGATCCAAATAAATATATATATAAAAGACACCTGATTAAGTTTATATATAGGTACACTGTAACTATAAATTAAATGTGTCTGTGTCTGTGTATGTCTAATTATACTAAGTGCAAACCACACATGATGATGTGAAAAAAGAAATATATTGCACGACACCACATTATTATTGAATTTGAAAAAAGATCGGATATATACAATTTTATTGGAAAGAAATTAAGTATTTTTGTACCTCCAACTTACAATCCCTCAATTAAAATAGATAAGTTTATGGTTATCTGCGGTGGGTCTTCATATATATATATATACACAGATCATTTGAGAATTATTAATCTGATAATCCTAATTAGATTTTCATTCATTTTACAACTCTATGTCTCTCATCTCTCATATAATTCTCTCTCTTACTCTATCTCATATACCCAACTCTCATACGTATATAATTTTTTCTCTCTTTCTCAGACATTTTAAACACACTTTCTAATTTCTCATACTCTCTCTCTCTCTCTCTCTCTCTCTATATATATATATATATATATCATACTTTATCTTTTAACAATGTTTGTCTTGACGATTCTAATTTAACTTCTTTACTTAAACAAATTCAAAATCAATCTAATCATCAATAAAAAAAATAACAAGTGATACCAATTGCACCAAAAAATTTTGGTACTAAAATTTTTAATTTATTTTCACTTATTTTTATGTGAACTAGAGATTTTTGAGTTTAACAAGTGGAAGTGAGCGATTCTTTTAAAAAAAAAAAGTGGAGGTGAACAATTGGTTTCATTTAAATATGTGTGATTGAATTTTGACCAAAAGAAAATTTATCAAATGATATAGTAAGAGAGAATACGCTATGCTATGAAAAAAATAAGTATTTAAAATTTATGGGTTAAAATATAAATTTTTAAGTTTATATATAACAAAAAAATTATAATTTAAGGTCAATTTCATGTTGGTTTAATCAACAACAAATAATATTTAACACGAAATGAACCTTAAATTGTAAATTAATATATATATATATATATATATATATATATATATATATATTTATTTATTTATTAAAAATTAATATTTAATTTTGTCCAATTTATATTCAACTTTGTTGAATTAATATTAAAATTTATTTAATCAATTTTTTGGGGTACTAAATTATATCAATTTTTTGGGTACTAAATTACATCTTATTTTATTTTATTAAATTTTAATTTTTTTGGGTACTAAAGTTGAAGAAAGGAAATTATAAAAATATTTTTATTTTTTAGATAAAATCATTACTTTCCATTAGCAATATTGAAGGGAGGGAGACAGCGGGGGTCTCTGTGTAATAAATTTTAAACTCCAAAAATCTCAGTGTTATTTATAAAATATCAGGGGGTGTTCCCAGAATATTGTCAAAACTCAGAAGAAGTTCGTATTTTTTACCCTATTTTTTAATTAGATAATAATTTATTATTATTTTATCATAAAAACTTGAATTATTATATTTCTAATAAAAATAGTTATTGGTTAAGAAGATTTATTGGTAGCCAAAAAATAAATGTGTGCGAGTATGTTTCTGTGTATATTTATATGTTGATGATTGAAAATTTGGTAATTAAATTTATAATTTTATTGTGCCATTTGGGGTTGAATAATAATAATGGCGATAAATTCATGAGTTTTATAAATGAGTAAAATTTGATTGATTTTATTTATCGTTTAAAGATTGTGAATTTAATTGCGTTATATTAGTATTTTTTTTTTTTGCTTGAGATATTTGTTACATGGGGATAGAGTGGATTGGAAATATGATGATTGTGTTTATAATTATATTCTATTATTTGATTGAGTGGTGGTAAATGTAATAAATTCACGAGTCTTATAAATGAGCAAAATTTTGTTTATTACTGAAAGATTATAAATTTCAATGAATTATGTTAGTATTTATTTTTTTTCAGAGGTATTTATATACATATGATGTTGTTTTGAAGAGTTTTATATATTTTTACGACAATTCTATTAATATGGAGGATATAATCGGTGATATATTTTGAGTTATTTTAAAAAAATAATTGGTATGAATATTTTGATGTCATTCTTTTTAAATTTGGAAAATTGTATAAAAAAAATTTGTTTATTATATAATGTCTCGAGGAAAGGATATATATATATATATATATATATAGTCGATTATAATAATTCACAGCATATACGTAGCAGACGTAGTAATTGACAGTAGAGCTTAGAAAATGAGGGCTGACTATGAAGTTTAATAACAGACAAGAACTAATTAGTCATCGTTAAAAACAACGTCTGTCATTGTGTGATGGTTTTGGACCTTTGGAGCCAGCCGGCCACAAAAAGTCAAAGTACAAGAAAGAAAATCACAGGAGAGAGAGAGCCACTTTTAATGTGTATGTACGTTACTAATAAAAAAGATCTACAATACAATACCATACCATACCATACCATCTTAAGCAAAGGGCATTGCGGTCCAAAAGTAAAAGTTGTTCAATACCACAACATAAGCTTCACTGTTTGACATCGTTTACCCTTATGTTTTCTAGTCCTTCTTGTATCCTTCTTATCTTTACTTCTTCTCTCAGTTCTCAAATCATACAATATATAACTCCAAGCATCCGCAGACAAACTGAAGGATTTCAGATTATATATTTTTTTTTATCAAAATTGAATCATTGTCATCATTTTTACTGGAAAAAAAAATGACTTCGTTTGTCAAGACAGAAACTGGAGAATCGTCGCACTCTGACGAGGGTGTGACTGTGATGATCAGCACCAGATCAGATGGGTTTCAGAACCGGTCGACCACCACTTTTAGCGGTGTGTGCGAAATAGAAGAAGAGAGTTCAAGCGACTTGTTTGAGATTAGAGATGGGGCTCCCATGGATACCATCCAAGAAGAAATTGAGAGTGGTGGTTTGTTTTCTTTCGATTTTAAGAACGGTGACGATGTTGTTTATGTTGCAGTCGGCAAGAGTGAACACTCAAGCATGGACGCTCTTCTCTGGACGTTGAACCACCTTGTCAATCCATCGTCTACCATTGTTTATCTCATCCATGTCTGTCCTGAGACAAGGCACATCCCTACTCCATGTAAACTCTCGATTCCTCTCTCTTTCTCTCACACACACACACACAAACACGCATGGTGGAAGAGTGTGTTGGTCAAACCAATGCCCTGACAATCTGGACANTCTTCTCTGGACGTTGAACCACCTTGTCAATCCATCGTCTACCATTGTTTATCTCATCCATGTCTGTCCTGAGACAAGGCACATCCCTACTCCATGTAAACTCTCGATTCCTCTCTCTCTCTCTCACACACACACACACACACAAACACGCATGGTGGAAGAGTGTGTTGGTCAAACCAATGCCCTGACAATCTGGACATGGTGAAACTGGTCTTACCAACCATTGTCTTTACCGGGTAAGTTGGCAACTGGGGTAAAAAAACAAGGGCCACAGCTGCACATAAGGAAGGACAGATACACATATTTTTAAGTCTTTTACAGGTGCTATAATTAATTGTCTAGATTAGGAGTAAATATTTAGTTTAACGGTGAATGTTGTCACATGGTATTGTCATTCAATGGCAAATGCATAAGTCAACAAAGTGAATCCTAAGCTACTTATGTATATAAGGTAAGGTGATAAATTTTTTACAAGACATGATAGTTACTAAATTAAATAGAATCTATTTGTTCACACTATATATATATATATATATATATATATATATATATATATATATATATATATATATGACAATAATTATGTAATGTCACCGTAAAATTTAATATTTTAAATTTTTCTCCTAGAGTAGAATAGAGCTGATAGATGCCAAACGTTCTTTATTGTTGATTTCTTCTATGGTAACACTCGTCCCAAGGTTGGGTGGCAGTTTGGGTGTTAATTACCCTCCCCTCCCCCCTTCACAAGTCAAACCTAGTTTAGTCTTCAGATTAGTAAGTTTCATTAGGTAGAGTTGTATATAGCTAGCTGGCAAGGCAACAACTCCCCTGTACAACTGTGCAGCGTACAGCAGCAGGCATGCGCTAATATTCCTCCATCGTTCTTAGTGTTGTTTAAGTCTTGCTTACAAGTTTGGAGTCTGGCTGCACATTGGTTCTCGATTGCTTATGACTTGTGTCCATCAATTATTCTTAGCGCGGCTTGCAATGTTAATATTAAGAATTGCTTCCTTAATTAATCCAAAAAAATATTAAAAGAGAAAAGAAAATATAGTGCATTGGCTTTATTGAATTAACAATAGAGTAGGTGCATATAACTAGTTTGCTTGGCACCGTGGCATGGCAGTAAGAAAAGTTTAGAGAACAGTCAAATCAAAGAAGAAGTGTTTTTTCATATAACTAATATATTCTAGTTATATGACATTTTGATACCTTAATCGATCTCCCTGAAGGAATAAGCCAATTTGCCTTTTGTAATGACAGTAGGAAAGATTCCCATAAGTCAAGTGAATCCAGAGCAGAAAGAGAGCTATATGATCCAAGAAAGAAGCAAGAGGAGAGAATTCCTTCAAAGGTTCATTGATACTTGTTCTGCTTCCAAGGTACACAACTAGCTAGCTAGCTAATAAGCTCATCATATGTATCTTCTATCTTCTCTTATGGTATAAATATATACATATATATATATATATATATATATATACATATATATATATATATATATATATGCATGAGCTTTTTAGGTTTTTAATTGTGAGGTTAATTGTATTATAACTAACTCCTTTTAGCTCTTGGCAAAATGTAAATTAAGGTGGAAGTAGACACCGTTCTTATTGAGAGTGATATGGAGGCAAAGGCAATACTGGACCTCATTCCTATCCTCAATATTAAAAAGCTGGTGCTAGGCACAACCAAATCTAATCTAAGGTAAAACTTTTTGGCTCTTCACTAACTTGGACTCCATGTATAGGAAATTCCATCTTCCCAAAACACCCTTTAATACTTCTTTTTTTTCCCCATGTTTTTTATTTTCGTTAGGAAAATAAGGTCTAGGAGAGGAAGTGGAATAGCCGATCAGATACTACAAAATGCACCAGCGTATTGTGAGGTTAACATCATATGCGAAGGAAAAGAGGCAGTCGATCAGCTAATAGAGTCTCCCTCACCACGTGGTGGCAACGACACTGACAGTCCCAAGCCTACCCAAGAGCCGGATCAAATCACTGATTCATTTTCTTGTAACTGTTTTAAACCCAAGGCCATTGCATAGTATTTGATATGGTTGGAAAACTCTTCCATGGATCAGAAGGCTTACCGGCCAGCGGGGACAGCTCAGTTGGGAGAGCATCCGACTATTTGAAACTGGAACCATATGAAACAACCATGCACACACAAGCTATCCACATTATTTGAAGCACAGTTTTTTTTTATTTTTTCCTCTTTCCATCTCCATCCTCTCTNTGGAAAACTCTTCCATGGATCAGAAGGCTTACCGGCCAGCGGGGACAGCTCAGTTGGGAGAGCATCCGACTATTTGAAACTGGAACCATATGAAACAACCATGCACACACAAGCTATCAACATTATTTGAAGCACAGTTTTTTTTTATTTTTTCCTCTTTCCATCTCCATCCTCTCAACTTCTTGCTAATTGCTCTAGTAACTGTCCGAGGGTCATCGAGCTTGAGCCTGCTTAATCGTTCAGGCAACTTAGTTGCATGCCTAACATGAGCGGGCGGATGGTAGATCGTCCTTTTTGGCCAGTTATAAAGAAAACATCACTAATGCACGCAGTACCAGTGTGGATTATCGCCAATGAGCTAGCTGTGAGCTGTTACTCGGAGGGCATTATAAGTAGTCTAAAAGGACGACCTTTAGCTTAGCATGCATGCAGAGAGTTTCCCAAGTAACTCGAGAGATTAAAAAAAATAAAAATCCTGTTGATGTAGGCAAAAAGTGCACTGCTCTGTTGATCTCATATGTACACAAACAAGAACAAGAACAAGAACAAAATTATAACAAAGATAACAAAATACAGGAAGTTCCGCGACTATAGTTTGGGCNCATGCATGCAGAGAGTTTCCCAAGTAACTCGAGAGATTAAAAAAAATAAAAATCCTGTTGATGTAGGCAAAAAGTGCACTGCTCTGTTGATCTCATATGTACACAAACAAGAACAAGAACAAAATTATAACAAAGATAACAAAATACAGGAAGTTCCGCGACTATAGTTTGGGTGTCAGAACAAAGACACCCAAGTAGTACAAGTATACAAACTCAAGGGTTCACGTAACTTTGCTGCTACATCATCCTAAATTGATAATCATTTTCTAGAAAGCAATGTTGATTCAATATACAATGCAGAAAATGCAACCTGAATTGAGGACTAGTAAGTTGATCTTGTGGTCATCCATGGCTTTGTTTCCTTTACGCTATGTATGCTATTGCCACACACATTGAAGTNAATCATTTTCTAGAAAGCAATGTTGATTCAATATACAATGCAGAAAATGCAACCTGACTTGAGGACTAGTAAGTTGATCTTGTGGTCATCCATGGCTTTGTTTCCTTTACGCTATGTATGCTATTGCCACACACATTGAAGTGCTTTAAACACATTTTCTGTCATTCCTCCTTGGTAACGCATCCACTCATTCACCGGACAGGTGCTCTTTGTAATGCACAAGGCAGCTAAGAGAGAGTCCTCTTTACGCCTGAAATTGAGCAAGTTCAAGCGTTGATCATGCAATACAGACTGGATCTGTTACAGGCGGCAACAACAAACATACCATTCTTATCATATAAAGATACGAAATCTCACCTTCCTCACCCCACTCACAATCCCCGGAACATCCAGAACATTGGTTCCCCATAAATAGAAACATATTCCAATCAACAATAATAAATACTAGAAGAAATCAAACTCCAGGTAACTGTTTAAGCCTTTTTGATCAGGAGGGGTTATAGCAACAGCTGTCATTGCACTCGTTGACGTTACTGGAGCAGGTATTCGCTCAAATTCAACTGGCTTTGGGATCTCAGGTGGTGTAGCACAGCGTATCAATGCCCAATTTATACCTTCAAAGAAAGGATGTTGCTTAATCTCAGTGGCTCCCCTTTTATATGCCAATCTGTTCTGCGGTTCTTTTACAAGCAACCCCTTAATCAGATCCCTCGCAGAAAAACTGACCACTGGTGATTCTGGAAATCGAAGCGGCTGTCCCACAACATTGAACAATGTGGCTCGATTCCCAGATCCTTTGAATGGAGTTTTGCCAAACAGCAATTCATACAGAAAGATACCAAAAGTCCACCAATCTACGGCACTTCCATGACCTTCACCTTTGATAATTTCTGGTGCCAGGTACTCATGAGTCCCAACAAATGACATAGACCGAGCACTGGTTGGTTCAGCTATGAGCTCTGGCAAAGGGCTAACTTGGTTTCCGATTTCTGTTTTGGGTTTTCGATCCTTCTTGGCCTTGCCAGAAAAAAGGCGGGGAGAGAAGCATGTTGTGGGAACCACGCACGATGGCTGAATGCAGGAAGGCTCAATGCAAGCAGGCTGGACACAATAAACAGGGTTCTTTCGAAGGGGCTCTGACTCCAAGGATGAGTTCCTGACAAGAGTTGGGCTAACAGCACAACGAAGGGAGAGGTCAAAGTCTGAGAGCATTATGTGTCCATCTTCTCTCACAAGCACATTTTCAGGCTTAAGATCACGATAGACAATTCCAAGCATGTGGAGATACTCCAGAGCTAGGAGGACCTCTGCAACATAAAATCTGCAAAACAAATGAAAACAACCATAAAATCATTTGCTGTATGCAACAATTAGACCTTTCCACCACAATGAAAGCTATATTGTAGCCAGAAAAGTCACCTATAAAGAGATGTTTTCACTTGTAAAAGTACTGCTGTCTGGGTTATCACAAACTTTCTGGATTTGCTACAAGTGATTATATTATAGAAGGATTAATTTTGACAAAGATAATCTCATTCTTCTTCATAAACCACCATGCCTCTGGTTTTTAATTCATTTAGTCAGCAATACAACCTGCTCAATTTCTACAAATCAATTACACCATTGGTCAAGACCACTGGATGAGATCGAAGTAAACCATCTATTATTTTATGTAACTGCGTAACATTTACTCTGCATTGTACAATGGACTTGGCAAACATAGAGATTACAGTGCTGGAATAGGAATATCTGACTTTTAAGTGCAAAGAAGATTTTTACTTCCCAAAAGGAATTTGAAAACATAATCCTCAAAGTGCACAAGTCACCCATTTACATCTAGAAACCAAATTTATAAGAGTTAGCAGAATAAATCATGTATCCATAATTGGACAAAGAAAGGATGCAAGTACATTACGGTGAAAGAATAACATTGCGAGAAGCCTTGGTAAGAAGTCAGCATTGTCGAGTTTCAAGGAGTTTGTGGAGCAATGGTTTACATCCCCAAGGTAAAGCTAAGCTAATATATTGGCTGGACAATCTTGAGCCATTTCTAGAATTTAGCACACATTACTACTACTAGCAGTGTTTGGAATCCATGCCTCACATCATTCTGTTCAGCTAATTGTGTAACTAATTCTGGGTTTTTAGTTTATGTGCAAAAATCTTTTATGAATAACACTATTTTGGTTGCAAGAAAGCATGAGCATCAAAACACAAGGCTTTTACTCAACCCAAGTATAAGAAAGAAGAGTAATGCTACACAACCCAAATAAAACCCAAAAAGTTGTAATTGCATTTGGGTTGTGTAGCATCCAAGGGATGATATGCATTTGGGTTACATTTTTTAGGTTTCATTTGGGTTGTGCAGCATTTTCCAAGAAAGAAACTAGTTACTTTGCAAAATTCCTGGAAAGACTAAATAGAGAGGTACAAAGTCGATTACAGTTCGTTCACATATGAAGGATATAATTCTCAAGTCAATCACATCACAAGCGAAAACTATTAGCCAAAGAACCGAAGGGGAAATTATAATAAGAAAGAAGCTTGCACCAAATTTTGGTTACCTACATATGTACACACATTATGTATGTAGATGTCTGAATGTGTGTGTATATATATAAGGGTACCTTACATACTAGTTGATATGGATAACTGAATCTACAATTAAGAAAAACACTTAAAAATTATCCAACTTTCTACAGATCTTTTTGCACCACTATGAAAATCACCACAACCTCAAATTGGATGATCAACCTTTTTGGGCCTTGTTATGTCAAACGAAAATTCAGATGCAATGCAAGTTGCCAGGTGGGAGAAAATTACAGTTCTAAAAGCNGAAAATCACCACAACCTCAAATTGGATGATCAACCTTTTTGGGCCTTGTTATGTCAACCGAAAATTCAGATGCAATGCAAGTTGCCAGGTGGGAGAAAATTACAGTTCTAAAAGCACAGTCCAAAATCTGATTTTAGGATCCATTAATCACCCCCTGGAGGTCCTGGACTCGAAAGAAGGGTGCTACTGCATAGAACTTCCAAAAGGAAAACCATTTTACACTTCTTCAGAAAATAACAAACACAAGGATTGGCGTTTTTTAATAGCCCTTCACAGCAGCGAGATGTTCTGGAACATTCTCATTTTTTTTAGTACAGTTATACAATTGCGACTTTGATAGATATTTACAAAACAATAATACAAAGAAATAAAACCGAAGTTGAATAAAACATGCATAACATCGTCAATGAAGATAGCCAGATTCAGTTTCAGATTTTAACCGAATAATAATAGGGGTAGAGGAAAGGACATCATACTTTACAGCTTGCTCAGAAAAATGTTTCCCTGGCTGTCTCTGCCTAAGGGTGTGCAGGTCTCCTCCAGGGCAGAACTCCATCACCAAACACGAAAACTTATCTGTCTCGAAGTGCGTGTATAGAGATGGAAGAAAGGGATGGTCCAAAGTTTGTAGTATCTCTCTTTCTGTCTGAGCCCGCAGAAGCTTCTTCCGACTTGCCAGAGATGCTTTGTCCATGACTTTCATTGCAAAATAAGACTTAGTTCCACTTAACTCTGCCAAGTAAACACTACCAATATCCCCGCAACCCAACCTCTTCAGCAATCTGAAATGGCTCAAACCCAGGACCCCGTCTCTTGCTCGGACAGCTTGGATGGCTTCCCATCTCAAGTCATTTGCTTTGTGAGGCTTGCTGATTCTGCTACTAAAACTGCTACAAGTGCTCTCGTCACTCACATCACTGCTTGTGCTTCCTCTACACATACTGCTCTTTCCACTCTCAACAAAATCAGCACGATCACTAATCTTGGCACTTCCGCTGGTTTTGCCAAGACTGCTGGTCCCATCACTAACTTTAGTGGAAACTGAACTGGTCTTCACACTTCCATGCTCTGATATTTTTTTCTCTTGATCAACAAATACTTCCAGAGAGCTACTAGTCACAGGTACTTTGGAACCTACTATTGCTGATACTTGTTCAACATTTGGTGAAGAAATATTATTTGAATCAGATTTATTAGTAGATGAATCTGAAGACCCCCTTTGATCATAATTCGGTGATTTTTTACTGTCAGAAGATTCCACAATAACCTGTTTTGCTGTAATCTGTTTAGAATCCGGTACTAGTCCAGGAGAAACCAGTTCGGGTTTGCTTGTCTTCGGGCAGAGCATGGCCAAAGACCTACCATCATTTCGTTCTACTGTTTGATAAGCGCCAACAGCTTTTTGCTGCTGTTCAGGGGAAGGTCTAACACCAGTTTTTGAGGCCATCAGAAGAAACAATGAGACTTTACATAGATCAGTTCCAGCAAATTTATTTTTCAGCACCCAATCTCTCATGCGTAATTCCTTCCATTAACAAACCAGTACCTATCCCCCTAAGCTCTGCCAAACAAATAAGTCAAAAACACCTTTTCAATATAAGCCACCTTGCTGAAGTGAGATTAAAAAAAAAATCCAAAAAAAAGGAAATGGTATTTGCAAATTAAGAACAAAGCTAAGGACAACGTGGTGCTCCATAGCACGATTAACTACATTTGTGCAGTCCCAAGCACTGGATCATACACCAAGATCAAGGAATCATCAAATCGGAAAACACGGGCAAAGATCAAGAGTCACAAGTGGTACTGAAATTGCGGCTAAGATGAATATGAAAATTAAAGCTTCCTCGAAAAACACAATAACGGGACCCAAATCTCAGTTAGCAGAACAAATTAATACCACCCGAAACTAAGAAAGCTCAAGACAAAGCTGCATGCAAACCCTGACTGAATTTTATTCAAAAAGAAAATATTAATCAAGGAGGTGAATAAAGGTCAATTATACAACTCCATATGCAAACTTTACTTCTAAAAGGCATAAAAGAAGACTTCAGATGAAAAACAAAGGATCTAAGGACCACAAAAAGTAAAGCTACAGTCAATCAGGTCAGCTCCTGGACAAATGCAGTTCCATGATAGCAACCAATTATTTCACATATATCTGATATCATCAAGAAAAAGATACATGAGCATGATAGAGGAACCGTTCCATAAAACCCAGATCTTGGTCACAGAACCACAGTTATCTGTCAAAACCTAACACAGATCCGAAATCAGAGATGACCCATGTACACAATTCTACTGTAGAAGGTAAAGCGACACAACCCCATCAACCAAAACTAGAACAAAGCAGAGAGAGAGGGAGAGGGAGAGGGAGAAGGCGAGAGAGAGAGAGAGAGAGAGCACCTAGATTTCGAAAATGATCAGAACCCAAAGTTCAGGGCTTATTAGCTTTGGCAGAGAAAAGTAGCAGCACTGTAGAAAGAGAGCTCCCGATGGCCTGCTGATGATACCGGTCCCCAAGTGTGAGAGAGAGGGCAAGAGATGCGTGAGAGTAATAAAAATTGACTGGCTCCCGGCTTCCGGACTACTTAGGTGTGTGTGTGTGTGTGTGTGAGTGAGAGAGAGAGAGAGAGAGAGAGAGAGATAGAACGAGAGGCTGGGGGGGTCAAAACCAAAGCTAAAGCATGACTTTTTGTATTCAATAATCTCATTGTTTTTTGTCCCGAAACTGAAGGGGTCCGAACTCCGAATGAACATGCTAAGTCTCGCCTGTCTGCCATGGGCCACGGCCTCACCCTCACGCCTGAACAACCTGGCAACCAAATGACTGAAATGCCCTTCTCTCTCTCCTTCCTCCTCTTCTTGTCAAAGGGACCATAAATAGGTTATTAATATGAGCAATACTGTTTAAATTTAATTTATAAATCAAGTATGATAATTATAATTATTAAATTTATTATGAATTTCGGTATTTATTGAGACCTACTATCTATTCAATGATTATAATTATCAAGTCTAATTTTTAAATTTATGTAACATTACTCTTATAAATCTAAATTGATAACCAAATGAATTATTGTCATTTTCAGAATGAAAAATGTTATTTAGACCTAAAAATTTGACATAATTTACTAACCTAATGACGTGTCTTCATTGGAACCATTGAATTAACACAAAATTCTAATATTTGATGAAACCTACAGTCAATACAAAGATCACAGTGAATTAGGTCCCAATAACATTGTTCTTTTAGAATTGACCGTAAATTCTAATATTAATTTGAGATCTGCTTCTAATTAAAGGGCATGTGATGGATTGGACCAATAGATAAGATTAATAAATTAAGTTTAAATTGAACCAGATAAATTCAAATATAAATATTCGCATCTCACGGTGGTATTCAAAGAAGTTTTGTGTTGCATTGATTAAACTTGCCCCTAGGTTTGCAAAAACCCTGGAGGTTAAACTGCTCAATTTATGGTTAGTCTCATAGAAAATCATGATAACATAGTCATAGTGGCTAATTTTGACCCAAGTCACAAACAGTCCTCATCCAATGCCGACATTGCAATAACTTGGTGACTCCTTTGCCATTATCTATCCATGAATCTCAAGGAGATGGACCAATTTTTATAATATGATTGCTTCATATACCAAATTTATTTATGAGGAGTTGATATAAATTTGTTTAATTACTCTGCATGTAATTTCTCGAATCCAATGGATAGAATAAAGTGAATGCCTTAAAAGTTTGGTGAGAATTAAGAGTAGGTAGGTTCCTCGTCGTAAATTGGAGTTTGATTGCAAGGTGGGGGTGTTGTCCATTTAAGGTTGTCCGTCCGTCTTGTTTACTCTCCAAAAATACATTATGGCTGTTGAAATTGCCTTCTTCATTAAGTATTATTGTCTCTGCAGGATAAGCCAAGGGGCCCCCCAACATCTAAAATGCTAATGTAATGATGAGCCGAGTCATCACACTTAATTACTCAAATACGAGAAAGGGGCCACAAGAACAGTCTCGTTAAGGTCGGATATCCTGAGTTCTAATTTTTACTGATGACTCTTAATTTTAACAGATATTTATAAATAATTCTATTATTTTGTAGTAGTGAGTCCAATGTGTTTCGTCTTAGAGAGGTTTCTCGTCACAAAATGAGAGAAAGAGAGTCTTGCATAAATAAATGATCTCATACATACAAAGAAGATTTTTGTTCCAAGTCTCCAAGTTTGGGTAAACCACCTTCATTAATGGAGAAAATAAGAAGGGGGAGCTGACCNTATCTGTCAAAACCTAACACAGATCCGAAATCAGAGATGACCCATGTACACAATTCTACTGTAGAAGGTAAAGCGACACAACCCCATCAACCAAAACTAGAACAAAGCAGAGAGAGAGGGAGAGGGAGAGGGAGAAGGCGAGAGAGAGAGAGAGAGAGAGCACCTAGATTTCGAAAATGATCAGAACCCAAAGTTCAGGGCTTATTAGCTTTGGCAGAGAAAAGTAGCAGCACTGTAGAAAGAGAGCTCCCGATGGCCTGCTGATGATACCGGTCCCCAAGTGTGAGAGAGAGGGCAAGAGATGCGTGAGAGTAATAAAAATTGACTGGCTCCCGGCTTCCGGACTACTTAGGTGTGTGTGTGTGTGTGTGTGAGTGAGAGAGAGAGAGAGAGAGAGAGAGAGATAGAACGAGAGGCTGGGGGGGTCAAAACCAAAGCTAAAGCATGACTTTTTGTATTCAATAATCTCATTGTTTTTTGTCCCGAAACTGAAGGGGTCCGAACTCCGAATGAACATGCTAAGTCTCGCCTGTCTGCCATGGGCCACGGCCTCACCCTCACGCCTGAACAACCTGGCAACCAAATGACTGAAATGCCCTTCTCTCTCTCCTTCCTCCTCTTCTTGTCAAAGGGACCATAAATAGGTTATTAATATGAGCAATACTGTTTAAATTTAATTTATAAATCAAGTATGATAATTATAATTATTAAATTTATTATGAATTTCGGTATTTATTGAGACCTACTATCTATTCAATGATTATAATTATCAAGTCTAATTTTTAAATTTATGTAACATTACTCTTATAAATCTAAATTGATAACCAAATGAATTATTGTCATTTTCAGAATGAAAAATGTTATTTAGACCTAAAAATTTGACATAATTTACTAACCTAATGACGTGTCTTCATTGGAACCATTGAATTAACACAAAATTCTAATATTTGATGAAACCTACAGTCAATACAAAGATCACAGTGAATTAGGTCCCAATAACATTGTTCTTTTAGAATTGACCGTAAATTCTAATATTAATTTGAGATCTGCTTCTAATTAAAGGGCATGTGATGGATTGGACCAATAGATAAGATTAATAAATTAAGTTTAAATTGAACCAGATAAATTCAAATATAAATATTCGCATCTCACGGTGGTATTCAAAGAAGTTTTGTGTTGCATTGATTAAACTTGCCCCTAGGTTTGCAAAAACCCTGGAGGTTAAACTGCTCAATTTATGGTTAGTCTCATAGAAAATCATGATAACATAGTCATAGTGGCTAATTTTGACCCAAGTCACAAACAGTCCTCATCCAATGCCGACATTGCAATAACTTGGTGACTCCTTTGCCATTATCTATCCATGAATCTCAAGGAGATGGACCAATTTTTATAATATGATTGCTTCATATACCAAATTTATTTATGAGGAGTTGATATAAATTTGTTTAATTACTCTGCATGTAATTTCTCGAATCCAATGGATAGAATAAAGTGAATGCCTTAAAAGTTTGGTGAGAATTAAGAGTAGGTAGGTTCCTCGTCGTAAATTGGAGTTTGATTGCAAGGTGGGGGTGTTGTCCATTTAAGGTTGTCCGTCCGTCTTGTTTACTCTCCAAAAATACATTATGGCTGTTGAAATTGCCTTCTTCATTAAGTATTATTGTCTCTGCAGGATAAGCCAAGGGGCCCCCCAACATCTAAAATGCTAATGTAATGATGAGCCGAGTCATCACACTTAATTACTCAAATACGAGAAAGGAGCCACAAGAACAGTCTCGTTAAGGTCGGATATCCTGAGTTCTAATTTTTACTGATGACTCTTAATTTTAACAGATATTTATAAATAATTCTATTATTTTGTAGTAGTGAGTCCAATGTGTTTCGTCTTAGAGAGGTTTCTCGTCACAAAATGAGAGAAAGAGAGTCTTGCATAAATAAATGATCTCATACATACAAAGAAGATTTTTGTTCCAAGTCTCCAAGTTTGGGTAAACCACCTTCATTAATGGAGAAAATAAGAAGGGGGAGCTGACCCATCCCATCCCATCAACAACGCGGGGACTCCTTGTTATCTCAACTCATTATTCTGTGGCTGTGCCAAGCAGAGAAGCAGTGTGGCTAAGCACAAATGGAACCGCATGCATATATATATATATATATGCTAATTATTATCCGTGTCTGAAGACACTATATTACTTATAAAATTTTAACACATAATGATAGTATGTTTGAATAATTTCAACATATAGGGATTAGATTAGTTTTGAACATTTTTTGTTGGTGTAATTGGTATCTTATTGCTTTTTATATTGGTCACCTATTTTTTTTTAATTGTTGATTAACTTGGACTTTCAATTTTTTTTTTATATTTTCTGAAAACTATACNAGAGTAATAAAAATTGACTGGCTCCCGGCTTCCGGACTACTTAGGTGTGTGTGTGTGTGTGTGTGAGTGAGAGAGAGAGAGAGAGAGAGAGAGAGATAGAACGAGAGGCTGGGGGGGTCAAAACCAAAGCTAAAGCATGACTTTTTGTATTCAATAATCTCATTGTTTTTTGTCCCGAAACTGAAGGGGTCCGAACTCCGAATGAACATGCTAAGTCTCGCCTGTCTGCCATGGGCCACGGCCTCACCCTCACGCCTGAACAACCTGGCAACCAAATGACNTAATGAAATATTATACCAAATGTTTTGAAAAAATCAATATACCAAATAACTAACATGTCCAAAAATGGTGACATTGTCTATTTGGGTACTGATTTTTGTGTTGTAATGATGGTGTGTATGTGGTTATTGGGGTCGAACGTAAACTGGCAAACCTTGAAAAAAGAAACACTAGACTTAGAANACTGAAATGCCCTTCTCTCTCTCCTTCCTCCTCTTCTTGTCAAAGGGACCATAAATAGGTTATTAATATGAGCAATACTGTTTAAATTTAATTTATAAATCAAGTATGATAATTATAATTATTAAATTTATTATGAATTTCGGTATTTATTGAGACCTACTATNCAACCAAATGACTGAAATGCCCTTCTCTCTCTCCTTCCTCCTCTTCTTGTCAAAGGGACCATAAATATGTTATTAATATGAGCAATACTGTTTAAATTTAATTTATAAATCAAGTATGATAATTATAATTATTAAATTTATTATGGATTTCGGTATTTATTGAGATCTACTACCTATTCAATGATTATAATTATCAAGTCTAATTTTTAAATTTATGTAACATTACTCTTATAAATCTAAATTGATAACCAAATGAATTATTGTCATTTTCAGAATGAAAAATGTTATTTAGACCTAAAAATTTGACATAATTTACTAACCTAATGACGTGTCTTCATTGGAACCATTGANCTATTCAATGATTATAATTATCAAGTCTAATTTTTAAATTTATG